AAAATAAAGAAATAAAATAATAATAATAAATTGAATCAATAATTAGTAATCTTCCAAAACAGAAAGCACCTAGCCTAGATGGGTTGTGGTGAATTCATATAATGGAATATTTATTAATATAAAAGAACACATAAGGTACCTAGAGGACTCAAATGCAGAGACAGAAAGTAGAATGGTGGTTCCCATGTGGTGATGAAGGGGGGAAAGTAAAGAGTTGCTGTTTCAGGTTTGCAAGATGGAAAAGTTTGGAGATTAGTTTTCAATAATGTGAGGTGTATTTAATGCTCCTAAGCTATACATTTTTAAAATGGTTAAGATGATAAATTTTTTTGTTATATATATATATATGTGTGTGTGTGTATGATTTTTTTTTTTTTTTTTTTTAGAGTGAGTTTAAGCTCTTGTCACCAGTCTGGAGTGCAATAATATAATCCCAGCTCACTGCGCCTCTGCCTCTCAGCTTCCTGGCGATTCTCCTGCCTCAGCCTCCAGAGTAGCTGGGATTACAGGCATGCGCCACTGCGCCCAGCTAATTTTTATATTTTTAGTAGGCGGGGTTTCACTTTGTTGGCCAGGCTGAGCTGGGATTACAGGCATGCGCCACTGCGCCCAGCTAATTTTTATATTTTTAGTAGAGACGGGGTTTCACTATGTTGGCCAGGCTGGTCTCGAACTGCTGACCTCAGGTGATCTGCCTGCCTCGGCCTCCCACGGTGCTGGGATTACAGGCGTGAGCCACCGCGCCCGGCCTGTTATGTATATTTTAACCACAAAGTTTTTAAAAGTGGTGTGAGGGGTAGAGCTTGCAGTTATAAGGTTTACTATGTCCTCACTGGGTCAGAATAAGCCCTGAAGGAAGAATCATAAACCACACATCCCCCTTCTAGCCCACAAGGCATCTGCTGGGACTCTCACAGCAAATGCAGCAGGCAGGAGAGACACATGCTGTCCACCTCATTCTACCCACTGAAGGGACAGAAGGGTGAAGGGGTGTACTCAGGTCACATGTGGTAAGGGGCAATGCCCAGGTTGCAAGGCCAGCGTTCTCCCTGCCGCCTCAGGGCCCTGTTAAAAACCCAGACTCTCCAGCCGTGCTTTGGATTCCAGCTTTGCCATTTACAGCTCTGGGGCTTAAGGCAAAGTACCCGGCCTCTCCAGGCCTCCCACAAAATGGGGATAAAAGCAATAGCTATGCCACAGGTCATTGTGAAGGTGTTTTAACGACATATAAATACTTACCAGGCAGGTAGGAGTCAGTGTTAGTTATTATAGTGTCTCTGGAGTTTTGTTATTATTTGAAGGTCTTTAAAAGACAAAGGTACTCCTAGAAGTTTAAAGGCACTGAAATTGATTTTTTTTTTCTTTCTTGTTTGTTTGTTTGAGACAGCGTCTGGCTTTGTTGCCCAGGCTGGAGTGCAGTGGTATGATCACAGCCCACTGCAGCCTTCACCTCCCAGGATCAAGCCATTCTCCTATCTCAGCCTCCCAAGTAGCTGGAACTACAGGTGTGCAACACTGCACCCAGCTAAGTTTTGTATTTTTTGTAGAGACAGGATTTTGCCATGTTGCCCAAGCTGATCTCAAACTCCTGAGCTCAAGCGACCCACCCACCTCAGCCTCCCTAAGTGCTGAGATTATAGGTGTGAGTCACCATGCCCAGTCTGCTTCCACTTCTTTTGGGCACACACCCAGGAACAGAATTCCTGGAGATCCAAGACTCTTTCTAGGCCAGGCGCAGAGGCTCACGCCTGTAATCCCAGGAGGCAGTGGCAGGTGGATCACCTGAGGTCAGGAGTTCGAGACCAGCCTGGCCAACATGGCGAAACCCCGTCTCTACTAAAAATACAAAAATTAGCTGGGCGTGGTGACACACACCTGTAATCCCAGCTACTCAGGAGGCTGAGGCAGGAGAATTGCTTGAACCCAGGAGGCAGAGGTTGCAGTGGAGGTTCAAGAATCACTTGAACCCAGGAGGTGGAGATTGCACCACTGCACTCCAGCCTGGACAACAGAACTAGACTCCATCTCAAAAAAAAAAAAAAAAGAGCCTTTCTAGCCTGCAACTTCACCCGCAAAGTGCATACATGGGTGACAACCAAACCCACTGGCTAATGGGTTTTATTCTTTGTCCCTCTCCTTCCCCCAAACACATCCCTGGGTAAATGTCAGGGCTTTGCAGGTCCTATCAAGCCCTCTGAGATCACGAACAGGCTGTGACAGGCGGGGCAGGCACCCGAAAAAGGCGCTATCTCAGAGTCAGGAGCCCCAAGATCTGCCTGGGTTTGCCACGATGGGTCCCTGCTTCCCTCTCCTCTCTGGACCCTGCGCCCAAGGCATAGGGAGATAGGCGGGGGTGGGTGGGCGCCTGTGCTGCAGCTCTGGGACTCCAAGCAGTTCTTCCTTGGGCAACACCAAACAAACACTGGTGGACAGACTGACAGCAGTGGGGGCCATGCCAAGGGGGCTGCAGGACAGCCTGACCTGGCCTGAGTCTCTGGGCCAGCCGTGCGTATCCAGCCTCAGGCCTCAAGCCTGCAACGCTGGGACCTTGCCCTTGGGTGACGTGGGCTGGGGGGCACCCTAGACTTGGAGTTATCTGGGATTCTTCCTCCCAAAGCAGTGCCAGGGCCCCACTCCTCCCAGGTCGCGCTCTGACCCACCTCCCAGGGGGCGGCATGTTGTGAGCCCGGCTCGGGGAGCGCATACCTGCAAGGTCTGCTCGTTACGATGCATGAGGTAGGCTATGATGGTGGCACAGCTGCGGCTGATACCTTGGGTGGAAAAGATCAGAACGACAGAGCCAAGGTGAAGGTGAACATCTGCAAAAAGAAGTGGGGGGTTGGGTCATGCCTGGCCCTCCTCCCTGTGGGCCTGGGTTGCTGTCAGACACTGGCCTCCATGGGCCCATGGTCCAAGCATGAGTTCAAGACCAGCCCACATGACCTCGGCAAGTCCCATGATTTCTCTGGGAGCCCATTTCATTGTCTAACAAGTGGGCATCCCTCAGTCCTGGCTGGAAGTTCCAGAAAATCATGCCTGGGCAACCAGCATCACCAGGCAAAGACCTTCTGAACTGCAGGCTTCTAGCACAGGAAGCTCTGCTACCGATGGGGCGGATGGGACCACCATCATTCCAAGAACAGTCAGGAACTGACAGAGCCAGGGTAGCCTGAGTGCCAATCCTGACTGCCACTCACTGGCCATGGGGCTTGGGGGCGAGTTACTTCCTTTCCTTTCCTTCCCCCCTCTGCTCTCTTCTCCTTTCGCCTCTCCTCTCCACTCCTCTCCTCTCCTCTCCTTTCCTTTCCTTCTTTCTTTGTTGAGACAGAGTTTCACTCTTGTTGCCCAGGCTGGAGTGCAATGGCACACTCTCAGTTCACTGCAACCTCCGCCTCCTGGGTTCAAGCGATTCTCCTGGCTTAGCCTTCCCGAGTAGCTGGGATTGCTACCACACCCAGCTAATTTTTTGTATTTTTAATAGAGATAAGGTTTCACCATGTTGTCCAGGCTGGTCTCCAACTCCGGACCTCAGATGATCTGCCTGCCTTGGCCTCTGAAAGTGCTGGGATTATAGGCACAAGCCACTGCACCCAACTTTTTTTTTTTTTTTTTTTTTAATATAGACATGCAGGCTCACTATGTTGTTCAGGCTGGTCTTGAACTCCTGACCTCGGGTGATCTGCCCACCTCATCCTCTCAAAGTACTGGAATTACAGGTAAGAACCACTGTGCCCAGCCTATTTTTATTTTTTATTTTTTAATTCTTTTTTTTGAGACGGAGTCTCGCTCTGTCACCCAGGCTGGAGTGCAGTGGCCGGATCTCGGCTCACAGCAAGCTCCGCCTCCCAGGTTCACGCCATTCTCCTGCCTTCGGCTCCCGAGTAGCTGGGACTACAGACGCCCGCCACCTCGCCCGGCTAGTTTTTTGTATTTTTTAGTAGAGACGGGGTTTCACCGTGTTAGCCAGGATGGTCTCGATCTCCTGACCTCGTGATCCGCCCGTCTCGGCCTCCCAAAGTGCTGGGATTACAGGCTTGAGCCACCGCGCCCGGCCTGCCTATTTTTATTTTATTTTAGAGACCAAGTCTTGCTCTGTTGCCCAGGCTGGAATGCAGTGATGTAATCACAGCTCACTGCCACCTTGAACTCGTGGGCTCAAGTAATCCTCCTGCCTTAGCCTTCAGGGTAGCTGGGACCACACGCATGCGCCACCATGTCTAGCTAACTTTTTTGTACAGATGGGGTCTCACAATGTTGCCCGGGCTGGAGGGTAAGTTACTTGAAGCCACAGTGTCCTTATCTGGAAAATGGGATCACAGTATACTACCTCCTCCATGCGGTTTGGTTCTGTTCTGTACTGAGCCCAGTGCCTGGCACAGAAATATCAGCTCTAATCACAGCACCCTTGAAGCTGTGAGTCCTGCCCAGGGAGAGGAAACCTAAGCTGGCACCCGAGGCTGGTCTGGCAACCCTCAGGACCTGAAGATTAGCATGCCAAGTGCAAAATCACAGACTGCCAGGGCTAAAGGAAGACACAGAGATGACGACGGCCACCTTCCTCACCATCTGAATAAAGGAACTGAGCGTGTAGTTTAATCCACTGACTGGCTCAGTGCTACCCAGGGAGGCAGGCTGGATGGGGGCCCTCTTTGGGCCACAGGGCTCTGACACCTCGAGGTGGGACACGTGGGAAGTCTCAGCCTCAGGCCCTAGTCGAGTGACATTTGACATCTGCTGGGCAAATAAAGGATGGTTGGGGCTGGGTGCGGTGGCTCACGCCTGTAATCCCACTACTTTAGGAGGCTGAGGCGGGTGGATTGCCTGAGCTCAGGAGTTCAAGACCAGTTTGGGCAGCGTGGCAAAATCCCATCTCTACTAAAACTACAAAAATTAGCTGGGTGCGGTGGTGCATGCCTGTAGTCCCAGCTACTCAGGAGGCTGAGGTGGGAGGATTGCTTGAGCCCAGGAGGTGGAGGTTGCAGTGAGCCAAGACTGTACCACTACACTCCAGCCTGGGTGAACAAGCCAGACCCTGTCTCAAAAAAATAAAATTTAAAATAAGGGATGGCTGAGCCAAAACGCCATGCTCCAGCCCCTGGTACAGTGGCTCAGGCCAGGAGCTGTTGGTGCTAGACAGGCAGGCACGGGGTGGGGACTCCAACCTGACTCAGCCCTGCTCTCTCTACACATCTTACTCTCCTCGGGCAATCTGGAGCCACAGGAACGAGTTAAAAATCCACTCGTGATGAATTAAGTAACTGGTGGGCACCACTTGGGTGTGGTGGCTCATGCCTATAATCCCAGCACCTTGAGAGGCTGAGGTAGGAGGATCGCTTGAGGCCAGGAGTTCAAGACCTGCCTGGGCAACATAGCAAGACCCCAACCCCACCAACCAACCAACAAACCAAAACAAAGAAAATCTTGGAAGTGAGAACTGAAAGAGCTTTGTAGTCTTCCTTCCGTTCCACCCACATCCCACAGACCAAGGATGAAGGCGGGGATGGAGAGAGACTTACCTCCTGGTCTCCAGAGCTCAGCCTAGAGCCTCTATGAGCATGTGTGCTTGTGGGTAGCCATCACCCTCATTTTACAACAAGCCCAGAAGGGCACAGCCATCTAGCCAGGGCCAGAGCCCAGGACGCTCAGCCCACAATCTTGGGCCCCACTGCCCTCAAGGTAAATACCACGGTTGCTCGTTTCACTGAGGGCTCCCGAGAAGTCGGACGTGTCCTGGAGCTTATCTCACCCAGGTGGGGCATATGCTGAGCTGGGCCCTTTCTCTCCAGAGCATGGGGAGTCGTGATCCAGAATAAGCCTGTGAAGGAGGCTCCACTGCCCCTCTGCTTCCCAGACACAGGCCAGCTGCTACCCGGCCAAGGAACGCTCCTTACCAATGAAGTGACACGTGCGGCGTAAGAAGGGGAGAATCTGGGCTTCTGGGGAATCTTCTATCTGGATGTGCAGAAGCCTGTCAGGATCGCCTGCAAAACTACATGGAAAGACCGCACAGGTCACCAGGTGGAATGCAGAATGCAAGCCGCCCCACTGTGGGGTTTTCATCGCAGCAGAAGGGCCACAGGGAGGACGCTGAGCTTGTGTAAGGCGGAATGTGCACGGGTAGCTCAACCTCTCCTGGAAAACAACATCCAGGCTGGGTGTGGTGGCTCATGGCTCTAAGCCCAGTAATTTGGGAGACAGAGATGGGAGGATCACATAGCCAGACCCTCGTCTTTTTTTTTTTTTTTTTTGAGACAGAGTCTCACTCTGTTGCCCAGGCTGTAGAACAGTGGCGTGATCTCAGCTCACTGCAACTTCTACCTTCCAGGTTCAACCGATTCTCCTGCCTCAGCCTCCCAAGTAGCTGGGATTGCAGGCATGTGCCACCACGCCCGGCTAATGTTTATATTTTTAGTAGAGACGGGGTTTCACCATTTTGGCCAGGCTGGTCATCAAACTCCCAGCCTCAGTTGATGTACCCGCCTTGGCCTCCCAAAGTGCTGGGATTACAGGTGTGAGCCACCACATCCAGCCAAAAAAAATTTTTTTAAAGTACCTGTCTTGGCCAGGCATGGTGGCTCACGCCTGTAATCCCAGCACTTTGGGAGGGCAAGGCAAGAGGATCGCTTGAGGCCAGGAGTTCCTGACAAGCCTGGGCAACATAGTGAGACCTTATCTCTACAAAAATAAAAAATTTAAAAAAAAAATTGTTAATACACCTAACTCACAGGGGTGCTGTGTAGACTGAGGAAAGTAATCTATTCAGGGCACTTAGCAATCTGCTTGGTGCATAGTACATGTCACATGGCTATTATGATGAGCCCAAAACATGGTACTCTCCTGGAATATGGTGCAATCATTAAATGAGGACAGGAAAGCACATTTAATGACCTTGGAGAATGAGCCCACTGTGTTAAATGCAGAGAGAGAGGTAAGAGGGATGGAGATGGTGGGGCTGCTGTTTTATCTGTTTTATTTTACTTCCTTTTTTGAGACAGAGTCTTGCTCTGTCGCCCAGGCTGGAGTGCAGTTGAGTGATCTCAGCTCACTGCAACCTCTGCCTCCTCAGTTCAGGCAATTCTTACACCTCAGCCTCCAGAGTAGCAGGATTACAGGCGCCTGCCACCATGCCCTGCTAATTGTTGTATTTTTAGTAGATATGGTTACTTGGGAAGCTGAGGTGGGAGGATTGCTTGAGCCTAGGTCAAGCTGAGCTGTGACCACACCACTGCACTCCAGCCTGGATCACAGAGTGAGACCCTGTCAAAAAAACAAAAACAAAAAAAATCAAAAAACACAAACAGGCCAGGCACAGTGACTCACGCCTGTAATCGCAGCACTTTGGGAGGCCGAGGTGGGCGGATCACCTGAGGTCAGGAGTTCGAGACCAGCCTGGCCAACGTGGCAAAACCCCATCTCTAGTAAAAAAATACAAAAATTAGCCAGACGTTGTGGCAGGCGCTTGTAATCCTAACTGCTTGGGAGGCTGAGGCAGGGAGAATTGCTTGAACCCAGGAGACAGAGGTTGCAGTGAGCCAAGATCGTGCCACTGCACTCCAGCCTAGATGACAGAGCGAGACTCCATCTCAAAAAAAAAAAGAAAAAAAATTATTGAGATCATTATGGATTCACTTGCAGTGGTAAGAAGTAACAAAGAAAGTCCTTTGTAGATACACTGTGCCCAATTTCCCTAATGGCAACATTTTTGCAAAACTATAGCATAATGTCACAATCAGGATATTGACACTGATACAATCTATCAGTCTTAGCAGGTTTATCCAGTTTTACCTCTCTCTGTGTGTGTGTAGTAAGTTCTACAGAAATTCATCACTGGGCTGGGCGCAGCGGCTCACACCTGTAATCCCAACACTTTGGGAGGCCAAGGCGGGCAGATCTCCTGAGGTCAGGGGTTTGAGACCAGCCTGGCCAACCTGGTGAAACCCTGTCTCTACTAAAATACAAAAATTAGCCAGGCGTGGTGGTGGGCGCCTGTAATCCCAGCTACTCAGGAGGCTGAGGCAGGAGAATCACTTGAACCTGGGAGGTGGAGGTCGCACTGAGCCAAGATCGTGCCACTGCACTCCAGCCTGGGCGACAGAGTGAGAGTCCATCTCAAAAAATAATAATAATAGAAATTTATCACTATGTAGGTTCATATATCCACTATCACTCAAGACAGTAAACAGTTCCAACACTAAGGATCCCTTCTGTTTCTTTTTGTTTGCTTGTTTTTGAGACAGAGTCTCACTCTGTTGCCCAGGCTGGAGTGCAGTGGTGTGATCTCGGCTCACTGCAATCTCCACCTCCCTGATTCAAGTGATTCTCATGACTCAGCCTCCTGAGTAGCTGGGATTACAGGCATGCACCACCATGCCCAGCTAATGTTTTATATTTTTAGTAGAGACAGGGTTTCACCATGTTGGCCATGTTGGTCTCAAACTCCTGACCTCAGGTGGTCCTCCCACCTCAGCCTCCCAAAGTGCTGGGATTACAGGCATGAGCCACTGTGTGCAGCTCCTTGTGTTGTTCTTTTATAACCACCTCTACCTCCCCTGCTCCCTTCCCTAACTCTTGGCAACCACTTATCTGTCTTCTATTTCTAAAATGTTGTCATATGAAAAATGCTATATAAGGCCGGGTGTGGTGGCTCACACCTATAATCCCAGCACTTTGGGAGGCTGAGGCAAGAGGATCACTTGAGTTCAGGAGTTCAAGGCCAGGCTGGGCAACATAGTGAGAGCTCGTCTCTTTTTTTAAAAACTAAATAAATAAATGCTATATAAATGGAGTCACATTGTCTGTAACCATTTGGAATTATCCCCCTGCCCCACCCCTCGGCATTTATTCACTGGAGATCCAAGTTGCCGCACGTATCAACAGTTTCTTCCTTATGATTGTTGAGTGGTATTCCATGGAGTGTATTTACCACAGTTTGTCTAGTTCTTTGCCAGCCGGACAGCACTATGAATATTCATGCGCAGGTTTTGGTGTGAATATAAGTATTTGTTTCTCTGGGATATGTGCCCAGAGAATGCCTTTTAATATCTAGAAGCAGGAGGCAGAGGTGGGAGGCAGAGGCAGAGGCAGGAGCATCACTTGAGCCCAGAAGGTTGAGGCTGCAGTGAGCTATGATTGTGCCACTGCACTCCAGCCTGGGCAACAGTGCAAGACCCTGTCTCTAAAATGAAATAAAATATAAAATAAAATATAGCCTGGGTGTGGGGGCTCATGCCTGTAATCCCAGCACTTTGGGAGGCCAAGGCGGGCAGATCACTTGAGGTCTGGAGTTCGAGACCAGTCCGGGCAACATTTCAAAACCCTGTCTCTACTAAAAAACACAAAAATTAGCCAGGTGTAATGGCATACACCTGTAGTCCCAGCTACTCGGGAGGCTGAGGCAGGAGAATGGCGTGAACCCGGGAGGCGGAGCTTGCAGTGAGCAGAGATCCGGCCACTGCACTCCAGCCTGGGCGACAGAGCGAGACTCCGTCTCAAAAAAAAAAAAAAAAAATGAAAACCTAGCCGGGCGAGGTGGCGGGCACCTGAGCTACTCGGGAGGCTGAGACAGGAGAATGGCGTGAACCCGGGAGGCGGAGCTTGCAGTGAGCCAAGATCACACCACTGCACTCCAGTCTGGGTGACAGAGCGAGACTCCGTCTCAAAAATAATAATAATAATAATAATAATAATAATACAAAAAATAAAATTTTAATATTAAATTCAAAAACACGAAATATAAATCAATTGTTTCTCTTTACTTACAAGGGCCCTGTATCCATGGAGACGTTGACATGGGCTTTGACTTTCAAGTCTTTCTGAATTTTGGGGTCACAGGCTTGACTGAAATTGCCGAGGAAGACCTCCCCTGGCATGATTTCAATGGGGTATGGCTGAAATGCATCCAGTTCCTGAAGTGGGGAGGGAGAAAGGCAGCTATGAGCATATTCCTCAGGGAAGACGGATGTCTATCTCTTGAAACACAGTTCATCAAACCAGTGTAAAAGGGCAGTTCCGGGACAGTGAATGTGATGGAGATCCAGACTTTGAAAGAGATTGGCACATGGAAACTTATGTGGGTGGCACAGGGCGAGTCATGACGAAGGGACTGAGCCACAGCCTCATGGTGCAGAGCGCTAGGTCTCAGCACTGGTGTTCATTTCCTCCATGGCATCTGTTTACACTTGGCCAGGTGCACAAAGGTTGCAGTGAGGACACTGTGGCCCAAAACTAACAACCCAGCATGTACTGGGGACTCAGGAGGATGGAGAGGGATAACTCTCTTATTACACTTGGAGACCATCAGAATTTCAGTACTGAGAGAGAGAAAGAGGAGAGAGAGAGAGAAGAGAGAGGAGGTTTCATCATGTTGGCCAGGCTGGTCTTGAACTCCTGACCTCAAGTAATCCACCTGCCTCGGCTACCCAAAGTGCTGGGATTACAGGTGTGAGCCACTGCGCTCGGCCCATCTTTTTCTTTTTCTTTAAGATACAGGGTCTCTCACTCTGTCACCCAGGCTGGAGTATAAGTGGCTCAGTCATAGCTCGCTGCAGTCTTAACCTCCTGGGCTCAAATGATTCTCCTGCCTCAGCCTCCCAGGTAGCTGGGACTGCAGGTGCACACGACCATACCCAAATAATTTTGATACTTTTATATTTTGTAGAGATGGGATCTTGCTATGTTGCCCAGGCTAGCCTCGAACTCCTGGCCTATAGTGATCCTCCTCCCTCAGCCTCCCAAAGTGTTGGGATATACATGGGAGCCACCCTGCATGCCCAGAAACGATTCTGATGAAGCCAGCATATATGTAGAGGGGTAGAGAGAACAAAACACCTACTTAAATGGGAGCTTCCTGAGTTCCAGGTCCAAAGTTATCATTAAAACTTTCATTTGCCAGGCGCGGTGGCTCATGCCTGTAATCCCAGCACTTTGGGAGGCCAAGGTGGGTGGATCACAAGGTCAGGAGATCGAGACCATCCTGGCTAACAAGGTGAAACCCCGTCTCTACTAAAAAACACAAAAAATTAGCCGGGCATGTGGTGGGCACCTATAGTCCCAACTACTTGGGAGGCTGAGGCAGAATGGCGTGAACCCGGGAGGCAGAGCTTGCAGTGAGCAGAGATTGTGCCACTGCACTCCAGCCTGGGAGACAGAACAAGGCTCCATCTCAAAAAAAAAAAAGGAAGAAAAAAAAACCTTTTGTTTATCTGAAACAAAGACAAGGATTATCTCTTCATTTCCCAAAGTGTGTTCTAAGAAACACTAGCCCTCCATAAGGCACTATGAAAAAAGGGTTCAGGGGTTCAGATAACCAAATGCAATCTGCCCCCCTATCTGTGCGTTCCACATCCATGGATTCAAGCAACCTTGAATCAAACATATCCAGAAAAATAATTCATGGTTGCATCTGTACAGAACATACACAGACTTTTTTCTTGTCATTATTCCCTAAATGACACAGTATAACAGTTATTTACATAGCATGTACATTGTATTAGGTGTTATGAATAATCTAGAGATGATTTAAAGTATACAAGAGGGGCCAGGTGATGTGGTTCGCACCTGTAACCCCATTACTCTGGGAGGCCGAGGCAGGTGGATCACCTGAAGTGAGGAGCTTGAGACCAGCCTGGCCAACAAGTGAAACCCCATCTCCACTAAAAACACAAACATTGGTCAGGCATGGTGGCACATGCCTGTAGTCCCAGCTATTCGGAAGGCTGAGGCAGGAGAATCACCTGATCCTGGGACATGGAGGCTGCAGTGAGCTGAGATCGTGCCACTGCACCCCAGCCTGGCGACAGAGCGAGACTCTGTCTCAAATAAAGTATATGGGAGGATATGCTTAGGTTAGATGCAAATACTACACCATCTTATATCAGGGACTTGAAGATCCAAGGATTTTGGTATCTACTGGGGGTCATGGAACCAATCTCCATGGATACTAAAGGACAACTGTACAAATGGACAGCCGTATCTATGATTCCTCTCTTGGAAACAAGGCGTACATTAGCAATCAAAGGTTCGAAGAAGTTGGGCACAGTGGCTGCTCACGCCTGTAATACTAGCACTTTAGGAGGTCAAGGTGGGAGGATCGCTTGAGCCCAGGAGTTCGAGACCAGCATGGGTAACACAGCAAGTCCTTTGTCTCTACAAAAAAATAAAAAATAAACAAAAATTTGCCAGGCATGGTGGCACATGGCTGTAGTCCCAGCTACTCAGGAGGCTGAAGTGGGAGGATCCCACAGGAGTGGAGGTTACAGTGAGTTATGACCGCATCACTGCTCTCCAGCCTATCTCTCAAAAAAAAAAGAAAAAAGAAAAAAGAAAGCTAGACGCGGTGCCTCATGCTTGTAATCCCAGCACTTTGGGAGGCCGAGGTGGATAGATCACTTGAGGTCAGGAGTTTGAGACCAGCCTGACCAACATGGTGAAACCTCATCTCTACTAAAAATACAAAAATTAGCCAGGGGTGGCAGTGCACACCTGTAATCGCAGCTACTCGGGAGGCTGGGGCAGGAGAATCACTTGAACCCAGGAGGTGGAGGCTGCAGTAAGCCGAGATCGCGCCATTGCACTCCAGCCTGGGCAACAAGAGTGAAACTCCATCTCAAAAAAAAAAAAAAAAAAAAAAAAAAAAAACACTCTCAAAGAAGTTCTGCAGTAGAGAATTCCACTCCCACTGGATAACTTGATGTTTCCGTGAGGCTCTGATTAGAGACCACTTTCTCCATTATTACACCATAGAAAATGCTGACCTTTGCCAAAGATCAAAATCAGTACCGAAAGTCCCCTGGCTCCAAGTCCGACTCAGAAATAAATCTTAAGGACCTCAGGCGTGTGGGTCCTTCAGAGCCACCTGAACTCAGCACATCTCACTCCCTTTCCCACAGCAGTAAACCCTCTGCAAGCCCATATCCTTCCCAAGCCACCAGCTTCGAAAGCCATTAGCAAAGAACAGACACCAAGCTGAGCCAGTTCTCAAGCCTGTGACACGGAGATGCATCACCCCACTGCCTGCGGGCAGGCCTAACGCTTACTCCAGCACGTGGGCTGCCCCTAACCCAGAGGCTCAGCTTCTGGTGCCAAAATGAAATCCCCCTTTCAATTTCCACTTGAAAAATCTCACTAAAAGGCCAGGCACAGTGGCTTACGCTTGTAATCCCAGCACTTTGGGAAGCTGAGGCAGGTGGATCACCTGAGATCAGGAGTTCAAGACCAGCCTGGCCAACATAGTGAAACCCCATCTCTAAAAATACAAAAATTAGCTGGGTGTGGTGGCACATGCCTGTAATTCCAGGTACTCTGGAGGCTGAGGCAGGAGGCGGAGGTTGCAGTGAGCCCAGATCGTGCCACTGCACTCCAGCCTGGGCAACAGAGATGCAGTCTCAAAAAAAAAAAAACCAAAACTCACAAAACTCCCATAGCAAATCTATCAACCCCTCTTCCTGGTTTTGAAACCAACTTCCTTTTCTGTGGTTGTGTGGGTTTGGCTGGGAAGAGGGTGTGACGTAGATAAAAACACACTGTACTGTAAAATGTGTGTAAATGCCCAGTGACACAATGCAAAGGAAACCAGTATCTCAAATGAATATGCCCAAACTGGGCACACTGCCTTACCCCAGAACCACCTCCCTCTTCCCCCACCCCGATCCCTCCTGAGTGTTCCCCACAATGAACCACATCACAGCCCCCGTCACCCACGCCTAAAACCAGGGCATCATCCCAGCCCCCTCTCTCTCCCATGCCCTCATGTCTGATCAGTGCTACCTCCTAAATCTTTCTTTCTTTCTTCTTTTTTCTTTTCACTCTGTCACCCAGGCTGGAGTGCAGTGATGTGATCTCGGCTCACTGCAACCTCCGCCTCCTGGGTTCAAGTGATTTTCCTGCCTCAGCCTCCCGAGTAACTGGGATTACAGGCATGGGCCACCACACCCAGCTAATTTTTGTATTTTTAGTAGAGATGGGGTTTCACCATGCTTGCCAGGATGGTCTTGATCTCTTGATCTCGTGATCCGCCCGCCTTGGCCTCCCAAAGTGCTGGGATTACAGGTGTGAGCCACCACGCCTGGCCTTTTAAAAAAATTTTTGTGTAAACAAGGTCTCACTATGTTGCCCAGGCTAGTCTCAAACTCCTGGACTCAAGTGATTTTCCTACCTCCTCTTTGACCTTCCAAAGTGCTACGATTCCAAGTTTGAGCCACCACAGCTGGCCAGTCACCTGCATTCTAAAGACAGCCGCAAACAAGTAACCCCACCCAACCCTCACAGCTACCCCAGCCACAACCCTGCGCCTTCTTCCCAATTTGACTAGACTAGGAGCAAAGGCAAGTTACAGGAATATGCATCTGTCAAAACGGACCATACCGGGCCTTTTAAATATGTGCAGTTCATCATGTCAGTTACACCTTACTAAAGCTTCAGAAATGAGGGGGCGGCGGTGATGAGTTATCAGCAGTGTAGGGTTTGCAGAGAAGAAATTAATCTCTCTGTACTCTGCAAAGCCAGGAAGGGGTCCTCCAAGATCAAGGAGGAGTTCCAATGAAGGTAAGACTTGATTCAGATTTGAGGTTGGAACATTAAACTGCCCTGGCTTACACTAGATTGATTGTCTTTACTTCCTTTATTTAACTGACTGTCCACCTGTTGAGCTGAAATTCACAGTGCTGTTATCTCAGTGGAAGAAGGGTATGTCTTTGTGAGCCAGACATGCATACCCTGGATCTGGGACCATGTCTGACCTCAGGCACAAGTCCCTATCTTATCACACAGGATCATTCTGGGATCCTGGTGAAGGAATGTGGGCTTGCGGGGCAGGAGACAGGGTCATGGGCTTCCATGGGGAGGGAGGAGGAAGTGGAGGAAATGCCTGGCAGGGGTTGAAGGGAGTCACTGCTGGCTGTGCTCTCTGGGAGATCCTCAGCCCCAGAAGGAGCCAGGGTGAGGCTGAGCTGGGTCCCGAGCAAACCAGCAGGAGAGGCCACCAGCAGCTCACATAGCCAGACGGGGCCAGAGAGCAGGAGCTTTCCCACCACTGACACGCAGTCAGGCACACAGACAGGTCCACTCTGGACCCTACTGCCAAAGGTCCTCTGCCCAGAAGGGGGGAAGAGAGCAGCTGTCCTTAAAGCTAACCCCCATCCCTCACTACTTTAAGTCCCCCAGCAAACCCTAGGCTGCCCAGCTCCGAGGCATGGGAAGAGATGAGACTTGATCCAGATTTGAGGTTGGAATATTAAACTGCCCTAGCTTCTACTAGACTGTCTTTTTACTTCCTTTATTTAACATTATTTCAAAACTATACACTAGTTGGCCAGGTGCGGTGGTTCATGCCTATAATTCCAGTACTTTGGGAGGCCAAGGCAGGAGGATTGCTTAAGGTCAGGAGTTTCGGACCAGCCTTGGCAACATAGCAAGACCCTGTCTCTACAGAAAATTTTAAAACTTAGCCAACTGTGGTGGCTTGCATCGGTAGTCCCGCCTACTCAAGAGGCTGAGGCTGGAGGATACTGAGCCCAGGAGGTGGAGGCTGCAGTGAGCTATGATTGCACACTGCACTCCAGCCTGGGCGACAGACTGAGACCCTGTCTCTAAAACATACATAACACCCAACTTCAAACATTAACAACTCATTGGCCAATTTTGTTTCCTCTATACCCTCACTGCCTTCTCACCTCGCTCCAGATTATTTGAAAGGAAATTCCAGACATCACGTCATTTTACCTGTAAATATTTTGTTCTGTATTTCTAAAAGATAAGGACTTGAACTTTATAATAACCATAACAATGTCACTACAACCTTCAAAAAGCAACAATTCCTAAACACAATCAAATATCCTGTGAATAGTCACATTTGCTGAGTCATTCTATACTATGACTTCGATTGAAGTTTTTTGTAACCATCAGGTGGCCAGAAAGTATGGAATCTGCTCACGATGTTGCTAAGGGCAGGAAGGGGAACACAGCAGAAGACAACTGTTAGAAAAAGTTAAAACCACTTTCTGTTTACATTCCATTGTGTTCAGACGCTTCAATAAGCCAGACATCTGTACACGGCACCCTCCGGAGACCAGGCCCTGCCTGCAAATCTCTGCACAGTCTGGTGCTAGCCTTACACAACTCCACCCAGTTCTCTTCCTCGAAAGCTCCTCCTCCTTCAGCTTTGGCTCTGGGAAGCTCAAGTGCCTCTTCTCTGGGCTCCAGATACCCAGGGCGTTCCTTGACATAGTTCAGCTTCCAGCCACTGCCTTCCCTACAGACAGGGCCACTCAGCAGCAGGAACTGGTATCTCAAAATTGTTTTCTTATGACAAAACTGGCCGAGTTGATAACGCTTGGAGATAGGTGATGGACAAAGGGGTTTCATACCTGATTCTTTTTGTATAAAAAAAATTATAATAGGCTGAGTGCAGTGGCTCATGCCTGTAATCCCAGCACTTTGGGAGGCTGAGGCGGGTGGATCGCTTGAGGTCAGGAGTTGGAGACCAGCCTGACCAACATGAAACCCTGTCTCTACTGAAAAAGAATTATAATAGAGATGGGGTCTCACTATATCACCCAGGCAGGTCTTCAACTCCTGAGATCAAGCAATCCTCCTGCCTTGGCCTCCCAGAGTGCTAGAACTACAGGTGTGAGTCACCGCACCTGGCTGATTTTCCCTTTTTTTTTTTTTTTTGGAGACAGGGTCTTACTTTGTCAACCAGCCTGGAGTACACTGGCATGGTAACGACTCATTGCAGCCTCGACCTCCTGGGCTCAAGCAATCCTCCCATCTCTCTTCTCAATTATTTTTTTGAGCCAGGCTCTCACTCTGTCACCCAGGCTGGAGAGCAGTGACGTGATCTTAGCTCCCTGCAACCTCCGCCTCCCGGATTCAAGTAATTCTCCTGCCTCACCCTCCCAAGTAGCTGGGACTACAGGTGGGCCACTATGCCCAGTTAATTTTTGTATTTTTGGTAGAGACAGGGTTTTGCCATGTTGCTTAGGCTGGTCTCAAACTCCTGAGCTCAAATGATCCATGTAGCTTGGCCTCCAAAAGGGGTGGGATTATAGGCGTAAGCCACCACAGCCAGCTCCAATTATTGATTTTTTTGTAGAGACAAGGTCTCACTATGTTGCCCAGGCCGGTCTCAAAGTACTGAGCTCAAGCAATCCTCCTGCCTTGGCCTTCCCAAGTGCTGAGCTTCCAGGCATGAGCCACTGTGCCTGATCAATCCTTCCCACTTTTGTGTATTTTTGTATCCTCTGGATCCAGCTAGGATTTGTGGAACCAGACAGCCAAGAAAAAAGAGGTGGTCTCGAGCCGTGATGCCCCGGCCTGTCTGACCTTGAAATCGGTCCACATCGAGCCTGCCCTCTTTGTTCACTGTTTCAACCAGACAGCCAACAATTCCTTATAAAGAACTGTGGCCGGGCACGGTGGCTCACTCCTGTAATCGCAGCACTTTGGAAAGCTGAGGCAGGTGGATCACTTGAGGTCAGTAGTTTCAGACCAGACTGGGCAACATGGTGAAACCCCGTCTATACTAAAAAAAAAAAAATTAGCCAGGCGTGGTGGTTCGTGCCTGTAGTCCCAGCTACCAGGGAAGCTGAGGCAGAAGAATCGCTTGAACTCAAGAGGCGGAGGTTGCAGTGAGCCAAGATCATGCCACTGTACTCCAGTCTGGACGACAAAGAAAGAGTGTCTCAAAAAAAAGAAAAAAAACAAACAAACACTGGACCTGGACTCCTGGCAGCCCTAAATTCATGTCTGCAGCCCAGTCTCCACCCACCCTACCTCCTCCACTTTCTCTATATGCTCTGTCCCATCCTCCTGTTTCTCCTACTCTGTCACCCACGGGTCAGTCTCCAGGCCCATCCTTCCTGTCTGGGCCTGCCTGTGCTCAGCATTTGGCCCTACCTGAGGCATCCAGATGATCTTCTGGGTCCGGAGGAAGTGGTATGTGCCTGAGAAGCGCTCATAGCCCCCTTTCAGGATGTAGACAGGGTGGCGGGTGAGGCGGGTCAGGATCCTGCCATACTCAATGGCTGCTCCAGGCACCACATCTGAGAGTGGAGATCAAAGACATAAATGTCGCCTGTGTATCTGCCATTGGTCTAGAGTTGGGACAGATGGCCACTTTCTTCTGAAATGCAATTATTTTATTTATTTATTTTTTGAGATAGAGTCTCACTCTGTCACCCAGGCTGGAGTGCAATGCGTGATCTCGGCTCACTGCAACCTCCACCTCCTGGGTTCAAGCGATTCTCCTGCCTCAGCCTCCCGAGTAGCTGGGACTACAGGCGCCCACCATGCCTGGCTAATTTTTTATTTTTAGTATAGACAGAGTTTCACCATGTTTGCCAGGCTGGTCTTGAACTCCTGAGCTCAGGTGATCCGCCTGCCTCGGCCTCCCAAAGTGCTGGGATTACAGGCGTTAGCCACCACACCCAGCCTGAAACGCAATTATTTAGGTAGCTAAAGCAAGTATAGAGATGAGTTATATTAAAAATTTAAAAGTAGCTTACCACCAGGTTTTTTTGTTTGTTTGTTTGTTTTTGTTTTTGAGACAGGGCTTCACTCTATCTGGCTAGAGTGCAGTGGTACAATCTTGGCTCACTGCAACCTCCGCCTCCTGGGCTCACACCGTTCTCCCACCTCAGCCTCCCAAGTAGCTGAGACTATAGGTGCACACCACCACACCTGGCTAAATTTTGTACTGTTTTATAGAGACAGGGTCTCACTTTTTTTGCCCAGGCTGGTCTTGAACTCCTGAGCTCAAGCAATCTACCTGCTTCAGCCTCCCAGAGTGCTGAGATTACAGGCGTGCCCAGCCTAAGTTAATCTTCTTTTCTGTAAACTCTGAGGTATATAGTATGATACACAACATTATATAATATCTCTCTGAGTTTGCAGAAACTGCCAGCTCCAGTTAACCACTCATATGTATACATATGGTTTACATATTATACACGTGAATATATTATATTTATACCACATACATATGTAAACTGTATGCTGTATATCATACAATTCACCCATTTAAAGTGTATGATTCCAAACATACAGACCAATGGAACAAAACAGATAACCCAGAAATAAAGCCACACACCTATAACCATCTGATCTTCAACAAAGTTGACAAAAATAAGCAATGGAGCTGGCCATGGTGGCTTACATCTATAATCCCAGAACCCTGGGAGGCAGAGGCAGGAGAACTGCCTGACCCCAGGAGTTTGAGACCAGTGTGAGCAACATGGCAAGACCTCGTCACAAATAAAATTCAAAAAATTAGTTGAGTGTGGTGGCGGGCACCTGCAGTCCCAGCTACTAGAGAGGCTGAGGCAGGAGGATCACCCAAAGGGAGGTTGAGGCTGTAGTGAGCAATGGTTGTGCCACTGCACTCATCTTGGAGACAGAGCAAGACCCTGTCTCAAAAAATAGCAACGGGGAAAGGATTCCCATTTACTAGTCAATAAATGGTACTAAGATAACTGGTTATCCACATGCAGAAGAATGAAACTGGACCCCTATCACCATACACAAAAATCAACTCAAGATAGATTAAAGACTTAAATGTAACACCTCAAAACTATAGAAATCCCAGAAGAAAATCTAGGAAATGCCCTTCTTGACGTTGGCCTTGGCAAATAATTTTTGGCTAAGTCCTCCAAAGCAACTGCACCTTCTCGACATTGGCCGTAGCAAACAATTTTTGGCTAATCCTCCAAAGCAACTGCAACAAAACAAAAATTGACAAATGGGACCTGAGGACACTAAAATGCTTCTGCACAGCAAGAGAAACTAGCAGAGTAAACAAATAGCCTGCAGAATGGCAGAAAGTATCCACAAGCTATGCATCCAACAAAGATCCAATATCCAAAATCTATAAGGAACTGAAATCAAGAAGCAAAAAACAAACAGCCTCTGATGGTTAATACTGAGTGTCAACTTGATTGGATTGAAGGATGCAAAGTATTGATTCTGGGTGTGTCTGTGAGGGTGTTGCCAAAGGAGATTAACATTTGAGTCAGTGGGCTGGGAGAGGCAGACCCACCCTCAGTCTGGTGGACACCAGCTAATCAGCTGCCAGTACAGCTAGAACATAAAGCAGGCAGAAAAACATGAAAAGACTATACTGGCCTAGCCTCCCAGCCTACATCTTTCTCCCCTGCCATATACTTCCTGCCCTCAAACATCGGACTCTAAGTTCTTTGGCTTTGGGACTCAGACTGGCTTCCTTGCTCCTCAGCTTGCAGACGGCCTATTGTGGGACCTTGTGATCACATGAGTTAATACTCCTTAATAAACTCCCCTTTATATACAAACACACATATATATGCACATATGTGTGCGTATGTGTGTATATATGTATATATGTGTATGTGTGTGTGTATATATATATCCTATTAGTTCTGTCCCTCTAGAGAACTCTAATATACAACCCTATTAAAAAGTGGGCAAACGACATAAACAGACACTTTTCAAAAGAAGACATACAAGCAGCCAACGAACACGAAACAATGCTTGACATCACTAATCATCAGAGAAATGCAAATCAAAACCACAATGAGATACCTTCTCACACCAGTCAGAATAGCTTTTATTAGAAAGCCAAAAAATAACAGATGCTGACAGGGCTATGGAGAAAAGGAACACTTACATACTGTTGGTGGGAATGTAAATTAGTTCAGCCCCTGGGGAAAGGAGTTTGGAGATTTCTTTGTCAAAGAACCAAAAATAGAACTACCATTCAACCCAGAAATCCCGTTACTATGTACACATCCAAAAGAAAATGTTATACCAAAAGGATACCTGTGCCCATATGTTCATTGGAGCACTATTCACAACAGCAAAGACATAGAATCAACTCAAGGGCTCATCAACAACGAATCGGATTTTTTTTTTTTTTTTTAGATGGAGTCTTGCTCTTTTCGCCCAGGCTGGAGTGCCATGGCGCAATCTTGGCTTACTGCAACCTCTGCCTCCCTGGGTTCAAGCGATTCTTCTCCTGCCTCAGCCTCTCGAGTAGCTGGGATTACAGACGTGCACCACCATGCCCGGCTAATTTTTGTATTTTTAGTAGAGACGGGGTTTCATTATATTGGCCAGGCTGGTCTCAAACTGCTGACCTCAAGTGATCCACCTGCCTTGGCCTCCCAAAATGCTGAAATTACAGGCATGAGCCACTGTGCCCAGCCCCGGACTGGATTTTTTAAATGTGGTACACCTATACCACAGAATACTACACAGCTACTAAAAAAAAGAAAATCATGTCCTCTGCAACACCATGGATGGGGCTGGAGGCCATTATCCGAAACGAACTAACACAGATATAGAAAACCAGATACTACATGTTCTCATTTATAAGTGCAAGCTAAACATCAGGTGCATATAGAAGTAAAGATGTGAACAACAGACCCTGAAGAATACAAGGAGAAGGACGGAGAAAGAGGGACAGGGGTTGAAAAACTACCTATTGCAGCCAGGCGCGATGGCTCATGCCTGTAATCCCAATACTTTGGGAGGCCAAGGCAGGCGCATCATTTAGGCCAGAGTTTGAGATCAGCCTGGCCAACATGGCGAAACCCCGTCTCTACTGAAAATACAAAAAATTAGCTGGGTGGGGTGATACACGCCTGTAATCCCAGTCACTTGGGAGGCTGAGAGCAAGCGGAGACTGCAGTGAGCCAAGATCATGCCACTGCACTCCAACCTGGGCAACAAGAGCAAAACTCCATCTCAAAAAAAAAAAAAAAAAGAAAAAAAAACCTACCTATTGGGTTCTATGCTCACTACCTGGGTGATGGGTTTAATCGAACTTCAAACCTTAGCATCATACGATATACCCACGTAACAAAACCGTACGTGTACCCATTAATCTGAAACTTGAAAAAATATACAATTCAGTGACTTTTATTATATTCAGAGTTGTGCAACCATCCCCACAATCAATTTTGGAATGTTTTCTTATGTATATTTATTTGAGACGGGGTCTATGTTGAACAGACTGGTCTCAAACTTCTGGGCTCAAACAATCCTCCTACCTCAGCCTCTCAAAGTGCTGGGATTACAGGTGTGAGCCACAGTGCCTGGCCTAATTTTAGAACATTTTCATCACTCCTACAAGGGACCCTGTACCACTAAGCAGCCATACCCGTTTTTCCCCAAACTCCCAGCTCTACTTAACCACTCATTTTTATGGATTTGCCTATTCTGGACTTTTCATATAAATAGAATAATATGTGATGTTTTGCATCTGACTTCTATCACTTACCATGATCTCTTTAGTGTTCATCTACATTATAGCACTTTTTTTTTTTTGAGACTGAGTTTTACTCTGTCACCCAGGCTGGAGTGCAATGGCACAAACTCGGCTCACTGCAACCTCAGCCTCCCTAGTAGCTGGGATTACATGCACCTGCCACCATGCCCAGCTAATTTTTATATTTTTAGTAGAGATGGAGTTTCACCATGTTGGCCAGGCTGGTCTTGAAGTCCTGACCTCAGGTGACCCACCTACCTTGGCCTCCCAAAGTGCTGGGATTGCAGGCGTGAGCCACCACACCTGGCCCTATTCCTTTTTATGGCTGAGTAATATTCCACTGTGTGGATAGACTACAATCTGTGTCACCCGTTTAGCTGCTGATAGACACTTGGGTTGTTCGTGCTTTTTGGCTATTATAAATAACGTTGCTATGAACATTAATGTAAAAGCTTTGGTGTGGATGTGTTTTCATTTCTTGGAGGTCTGTATCTTAATCTTCTGAAGGAACACCAAGCTGTTTCTCACAGTGGCTGTACCATTTTACTTTCTGGTTCAGTGTATGAGGCTTCCAACTTCTCCACGTTCTCACCAACACTTACTGTCTCTTTATGACCATCCCAGTGGGTGTGAACTCACTGTGGTTTTTTTGTGTTTTTGTTGTTTTTTTGAGATGGAGTCTCACTCTGTGGCCCAGGCTGGAGTGCAGTGGCGCGATCCCAGGTCACTGCAAGCTCCGCCTCCTGGGTTCACGCCATTCTCCTGCCTCAGCCTCCCGAGTAGCTGGGACCACAGGCGCCCGCCGCCACACCTGGCTAATTTGTTGTATTTTTAGTAGAGATGGGGTTTCACCGTTTTAACCAGGATGGTCTCGATCTCCTGACCTCGTGATCCACCCATCTCGGCCTCCCAAAGTGCTGGGATTATAGGAGTGAGCCACTGCACCCGGCGGACATCAATTTAATCTTAAACACCTTCATTGATCTGTAGAATCACAATTAGACTGTATGGAAATTAGATATACGTGACAGGAAGTTTGCATAATTAAGGCTAAGCCAAGACATCCTTAAGCCAAGATATCCTGAGGCCAGGTTCTGACCCAGAAAAATATTGTGTGGCAGACTTCAGAGAGCCAGATAAAAAGAGAAAGGAAAGAGCATGGACTCTAAGGTTTTTTTTGTTTTTGTTTTTGTTTTTGAGACAGGGTCTTACTCTGTCACCCAGGCTGGGATGCAGTGGTGCAGTCATAGCTCACTGCAGCCTTGACCACCTGGGCTCAAGCGATCCTCCTGTCTCAGCCTCCTGAGTAGCTGGGGCTACAGGCATGCACCACCATGCCTGGCTACATTTTTTTTTTTTTTGTATTTTTGGTAGAGATGGGGCCTTGCTATGTTGCCCAGGTTGGCCTTAAACTCCTGGCTTCAAGCGACCCTCCTGCTTCAGCCTCACAAAGTGCTGGGATTACGAGTGTGAGGCACCGTGCCTGGCCAACTCTGCTTCCATACTGAATTTTTGTTCAGGGAGACAAAGACAATTCCAGAAGGGGCTACGGAGGATAAAAGTGGCTGGGACCTGTCTGAGAGATGGCACTGAGAGGAGGAATCTGGAGTCTGCAGCCAGGCTGGGAGAATCTGCAGCTGTCAAGACAGGAGCCAAAGCACACCCCACAGGGCCTGACTCAGAAGTCAGAGTTCAGGCCAGGCATGGCGGCTCATGCCCGTAATCCCTGCACTTTGGGAGGCCAATGCAAGAGAATTGCTTGAAGCCAACAGTTTGAGACCAGCCTGGGCAACAGAACGAGACCCTGACTCAAAAAAAAAAAAAGAAAGAAAGAAAGAAGAGGGTATTGAGAGAAGCCTTGAGATGGTCTTGTACCCTCAAAGACTTTTCATTGACCTGAAAGATGCCATTTGAAACAGGAAAAGTTGCCCTGAGTACACAAGTTGTCTGTGTGGTTGTAGTTTCCTGTGAATGGGGGCCCCAGAGAAAAGTAAGGTCAGTTACAGAACGTGAAAGGGATTATCTGTGTTGAGCACCACCTCCTAGGGTTTCAAGGCCCAGCCTACAGTCCTAGGATTGCAGACCAGAGCCCAACAGGATGAGCTTAGGGAAGAAGGGACAATTTCCTGGCCAAGGACCTCCTGGGACAAAAGTCCAGACAGCTGGTTTTATGAAAGGTGGAAGCATAGCGCCACCCACTGGCAGTTGGTGTGAGTGCTCCCAGCTTCTGGAATTGCACCCACAGGTGCAGTTCTGATTCCTAGAAGCAGAGCTCCCAGTGCCAACCGCAAGGGGTGGTCAGCCCAAAACTACGGGCTCATGAAGAACAGAGCAGAGCCTTAGAGGTTCGATGGAGCACACTGGAACTGACCACGCTTTAATGTTTTGATTTGGGGCTGCCTGCTCTCTAGCTCCACTACCCAATTCCTGGGGGACAGGACAGAGCCAAAAGGCCTGGGTTTGAATCCTGGCCCCACCACTTATAGGTGTGGTGGTTTAAAAATATGTCCACACACTTTTAAAAGCTTAAGTCTCAGCCTAGGCAACACAACAAGACCCAGTCTCTACAAAAAGTAAATAAATGAGCTGGGTGCCTTATCTTGCCATATCACCCAGGCTGGTCTTGAACTCCTCAAGTGATCCTCCTGCCTCAGCCTCCCAAAGTGCTGGGACTACAGGTATGAGTCACTGAGCCTGGCGTGCTCATAGCTCTTGATGTCAGTTAACGTCCTTGTAAGTCGTTCTGCAGATCCAGGTAAAGCCCTTGGTTCCTGGTGCATAGCACACATGAAACTGTCCCCATAAACTTTGTGAAATTAATCAGGAAAGGAGGGAGGGAAACAAACGAAAATAAAGCAAGCTTGCAGCACATTCAGCATTCATCACTAAGTCACCTTGCTTGCTCTCCAACCTGCTTCCTCACAGCTGTTTGATGTGTATTGTCCCAGAATCACATAGACCCTGTTACAAAAATATAGTTCTTTTTTTTCCCCCACCAAGACGGAGTCTCGCTCTGTTGCCCAGGCTGGAGTGCAGTGGCATCATCTCGGCTCACTGCAAGCTTTGACTCCCAGGTTCATGCCACTCTCCTGCCTCAGCCTCCCGAGTAGCTGGGACTACAGGTGCCTGCCACCACGCCCAGCTAACTTTTTGTATTTTTAGTAGAGACGGGGTTTCAGTGTATTAGCCAGGATGGTCTCGATCTCCTGACCTCGTGATCTGACCTCGGCCTCCCAAAGTGCTGGGATTACAGGCTTGAGCCACCACACCCGGCCAAGGATATAGTTCCCCTTAACTGCTCTGTAGGTGACAACTTGAACGTCTTGGAACATTGTTTTCCCTTTGAGATATTCTTTCAGGTCCTGCATTCTGATGAAACTGCTGACATCAGCTGGTCTGAAGGGCCCCACAGGAGCTGACTCACCAAAGAATGCAGTTTCCACGTCCTGATGATTTCATCCCCCTTTCCTCGACCAATCAATGACCCCAACTTTCTAGTCCCTCACCCTCCCCAATCCCCTTAAAAAACCCATTCCACAACTCCTTGGGGAGATGTATTTGAGGGCCTCCTCTTATCTCCTTGCTTGGTATCCGGTGATCATTAAGCTCTTTCTCTGATGCAAACCCTGCTGTCTCAGTGTCATTGGCCTGTTCCCGTGCCACGGGCATACGAACCTGTTGGTCCTATAACAAATCTGTTCAATAGCCGTTAACGATTATTCTTGCTGCTGTTGCATAAAACCCACCTTTGCCAGCACTATCAGAGTCTGAATCATCATCGTCATCTTTTAAGAGTACCTCCAGGGTGCTGGTGTTGTTATCATACACCACGCAGTACTTCACACACTCCAGGTCCACAGACTCCGGGAGAAGATACTCGTTATTTTTCTTAAAAAAAAAAAAACACACACACACACACAAGACAGGCCTGTTGGTAGGCAGGTTCGGTTGAGCAGAGACTCCCCGCATAGCAGCACTAGGAGGAGCTAAGACTGCACTCTCTCCCCTAACTACACACACAGGCCCAGAAGCACTGAGACAGTGGGTGGAGAGTCTGTTAAATCCCAAGGATCCTCTGTGACTACCTTCCCTTCTGAGAAAAGTTGACCACAGCTGATTGGACTAGAGAGAAGTGCCTGACCAAAGAACCGCTAGTCTGACTGATCCACAGCCTATTAGGTACTCTGGTGTCAGAGAAACCACGGTCAACTGAATTAGTGACATCCTTTCTCATGGAGAGAGTGTTTGGCAGTGGAGATTGAATCCAAAAACATCAGACTGGATGCAGTGGTTTGTACCTGTAATCCCAGCACTTCAGGAGGCCAAGGCAGGAGGACTGCTTGAGGCCAGGAGTTTGACACCAGCCTGGACAACATAGCAAGACCCCTGTCTCTATGAAAAAAAAAATACAAAACTGCCAGGCATAGTGGCATGCGCCTGTAGTCCCAACTACTCAGGAGGCTGAAGTGGAAGGATCACTTGAGCCCACGAGGTGGAGGCTGCGGTGAGCTGTGATTGTGCCACTGCACTCTAGCCTGGGTGACAGAGCAAGACCTGGTCCCAAAACAACAAAACAAAAAACACCCCAAAAAAGTACAGTAAGTAGACAGTGTGTAGAAGCAGAAGTCATGAGTAAGCAGAAGGAATGAGATGGACCGGAAGCTCAAATGTGGCTGGCCATGGTGGCTCACGCCTACAATCCCAGCTACCCGGGAGGCTGAGGTGGGAGGATTGCTTGAGCCCTGGAGTTCAAAGCTACAGTGAGCTACGATTGCACCACTGCAACCCAGCCTGGGTAACAAAGTGAGACTATGTCCCAAAAAAAAAAAAAAAAAAAACAAAAACTCATGGATTATAAGATGTGCTACCAATTTAATCAGGAGTGCGCACAAAAGAAGGACTTGTTGGCAGATAACACTCCAGGCAAGGCAAAGATGCAGCCGGTTTCCAAACCTAAAGCAGCTGGCTTTAGGACCCAGAGATCCTAAAGCCCAGACCGCCTTCAGGCTCTCCTCCTCTCTCCACTTTCCCCTCCGCACTGACTTCCCCTTCTCAGACAGCTTCCTCCAGAGGCTTGAGCCACGAACCCCAGCAATGCTCAGGCTCCCATCTTCCCAATTCCACCACCGTGCTGGACAGAGACAACCTTCTCTAATTCCAATTCTGACTGGCTCAGCTTTCATCCCAGACCCATGATCAATCACTGGGGCCAGGGTTCTGGATATTATTTTATTTTAGAGACAGGGTCTCACTCTGTTGCCCAGGCTGGACTGCAGTGGTGCAGTCATAGCTCACTGCAGCCTTGAATTTCTGGGCTCAAGTGATCTTCGCACTTCAGCCTCCTGAGTAGTTGTGACCACGGGCATGCACCACCACATCTGGCTAATTTATATATTTATATCTATATACATAGATATATTTGTAGAGACAAAAAAAGCCAGGTGTGGTGGGGTGCACGTGTAGTCCCAGCTAACTCGGGAGGCTGAGGTGAGAGGATCACTTCAGTCTGGGAGGTAGAGGCTGCAGTGAGCTATGATTGCATCACTGCACTCCAGCCTGGGTGACAGCGCAAGACTTGTCTAAAAACAAAAACAACAAGGCCGGGCGCGGTGACTCACACCTGTAATCCCAGCACTTTGGGAGGCCAAGGCGGGCAGATCACCTGAGGTAAGGAGTTCGAGATCAGCCTGGCCAACATGGTGAAACCCCATCTCTACTAAAAATACAAAAATTAGCTGGGCGTGGTGGCATGCACCTGTAGTACCAGCTACTCAAGAGGCTGAGACAGAAGAATGGCTTGAACCCAGGAGGCAGAGGTTGCAGTGAGCCGAGATCACACCACTTCACTCGAGCCTGGGCAACAGAGTGAAACTCTGTCTCAAAACAACAAGAATGACAACAACAAACACTCAAAAAGAAGGTAGTAAATAGATGCCTTCTGGGGTCCCACTATGTAGTCCAGGCTGGTCTCAAACTTGAGCTCAAGCAATCTCCCCACCTTGGCCTCCCAAAGTGCTGGGATTACAGACTAAAGCCACCATGCCTGGCCAGAATATTATTTTAGAGAGCACCACCAGAAACCCACGGTTTCAGCAGAAAGAGAAGTTCCCCTCAAAAAGGCAGAAAAACAGCAGATATTCACCACACCCACTTTCAGGGAAAAAGACACTACCATATTAAAAGTATGAATCAGGCCAGGCCTGGCGGCTCATGCCTATCATCCCAGCACTTTGGGAGGCTGAGGAGGGAGGACTGCTTGAGCCCAGGTGTTCAAGATCAGCCTGGGCAACATAGTGAGACTCCATCTCTACAAAAAATACAAGTTAACTGGGTATGGTGGTGCACGCTTATGGTCCCAGCTACTGGGAAGGGTGAGGTGGGAGGACTCCTCGTTCCTGGGAGGTCAAGGCTGCAGTGAGCCATGATGGTGCCATTGCACTCCAGCCTGGGCGACAGAGTGAGACCCTGCCTTAAAAATAATAATAATAATAATAAAAAATACAAATTGGCCAGGCACGGTGGCTCATGCCTGTAATCCCAGCACTTTGGGAGGCCGAGGCAGGCGGATCACGAGGTCAGGAGTTCAAGACCAGCCTGACCAATATGGTGAAACTCCGTCTCTAATAAAAATGCAAAAATTAGCCAGGTGTGGTGGTGCGTGCCTGTAGTCCCAGCTACTCGGGAAGCTGAGGCAGAAGAATTGCTTGAACCAGGGAAGCGGAGGTTGCAGTGAGCCGAGATCGTACCACTGCATTCCAGCCTGGGCGATAGAGTGAGACTCCATCTCAAAAAAAAAAAAAAAAAAAATCAACGGTAGGACATATTCTGTTTTCAAAAAAGAGTTACATTATGGGATACATGTGCATCATAGAAGGAAACATGGCAGCACAGTGCTGCTAAGGTGTCAGGGAGAGTGGAAGCATACTAGGAATGAGGCTGAAAAGTGAGGTGGTCACATCCAAGAAGGCTGAGAACACAGGGCTGGGAGCCTTTCTGTCCTGCTGGGCTGGGAATGCCCTGAAGGCCTCAGTCTGCTAACTGGGACGCTAGGGAGGGAAGGCAAGAGCCAATATCACACCACTGCACTCCAGCCTGGGCAACAAGAGCGAGACTTCGTCTCAAAAAAAAAAAGAAAAAGAAAAAAAGAGAAAAGCTGTTAGCCTGAATTGGAGGAGCTGAGAGGCAGAGGCAGAGAGAATGTCTCTTTCCCAAAGCAGGAGGTGCGGCCAGAATCAAAGAAATGCACAGACTTCAGAGCTGAGTGGGAACGGAGGCCCATACATCATGAGGGGGCTCTGAATAGGTGCAGAAAAAGGCCTGCAATGGGGGTTAAAAGTGAGATTATGGGCTGGGCATGGTGGCTCATGCCTATAATCCCAGCACTTTAGGAGGCCGAGGCAAGTGGATCACTTGAGGTCAGGAGTTCGAGACCGGACTGGTCAACATGGTGAAACTCCATCTCTACTAAAAATACAAAAATCAGTCAGGCGTGGTGGTGGTGCCTATAACCCCAGCTACCAGGGAGGCTGAGGCAGGAGAATCCCTTGAACCTGGGAGATGGATGTTGCAGTGAGCTGAGACTGCACCAGTGCACTCCAGCCTGGGCAGACAGAGTGAGATTCTGTCTCAAAAATAAAAACAAAAAAAGACGAATAGACAATAATGATGGATTGGGACGGGGAAATACCCTGGAAGAACACACCCTGCCCCTACTCCCTGCCGAGTTATCGAGTTCTGTATAGAAAAAGCAGCAGAGATTGAGTGTGGAAGAGTACAGTGGGAATAGGGAGGAAAGGGAAATTTTAGAAGACAAAGTTTTATTATTTTTGAGACAAGGTCTTGCTCTGTCACCCAGGCTGGAATGCAGTGGTGCAATCGACCTCCTGGACTCAAGTGATCCTCGCACCTTGGCCTCCCAAGTAGCTGGTACTACAGATGAGCACCACCACATTGAGTTAATTTTTCAATTTTTTGTAGAGACAGGGGTCTTGCTATGTTACCCAGGCTGGTCTTGAACTCCTGGACTCAAGCAATCCTCCTGTCTCGGCCACCCAAAGTGCTAGGATTACAGGAGCAAGCCACCATGTCCAGCCCAAAATTTTAGACGTAAACTTACCAGGACTGCTAATTGAATGTGGATGTCATTGCAGCTGTAAGCTCCAGTGAAATATCCGGCAAGAAAGTACCCTGACAGATACGGAGATCAAGGACAGACCAGCAGTTATCTTCAGGCGGCAGGAGGAGAAAATGAAGGTGAACCAAAGAGAGAGAAAATAAACCAGGGGGCCAGGTACAGTGGCTCATGCCTGTAATCCCAGCACTTTGGGTGGCCAAGGTGGGCAGATCACGAGGTCAGGAGTTTGAGACCAGCCTGGCCAACATGGTGAAACCCCGTCTCTACAAAAGTAGAAAAAAAAAAAAAAATTAGCCGGGCATGGTGGCGCACGCCTGTAATCCCAGCTACAGGCTGGAGGCTGAGGCAGGAGAATCGCTTGAACCTGGGAAGCAGAGGTTGCAGTGAGCCGAGATCATGCCACCGCACTCCAGCCTGGGAGACGGGGAAAGACTCCATCTCAAAAAGAAGGAGAGGAGAAGGGAGGGGAGGAAGGAAAGAAGGAAAGAAGAAAAGAGAAGAGAAGAGAAGAGAAGAGAAGAGAAGAGAAAAGAAGAGAAAAGAAGAGAAAAGAAGAGAAAAGAAGAGACCCAGGCTGGTCTTGAACTCCTGGACCTGCCAACTCTCCCGTCTCGGCCACCCAAAGTGCTAGGATTACAGTGAGTAAAGCCACCATGTCCAGCCTAAAATTTTAGACGTGAAACTTATCATGTGTGTGATCAAGCACTGAATGTGATGTCATTGCAGCTGTAAGCTCCAGTGAAATATCCGCAAGAAAGTAATTCTGACAGGATACGGAGATCAAGGACAGACCAGCAGTTATCTTCAGGCGGCAGGAGGAGAAAATGAAGGTGAACCAAAGAGAGAGAAAATAAACCAGGGGGCCAGGTACAGTGGCTCATGCCTGTAATCCCAGCACTTTGGGTGGCCAAGGTGGGCAGATCACGAGGTCAGGAGTTTGAGACCAGCCTGGCCAACATGAAACCCCGTCTCACAAAAGTAGAAAAAAAAATTAGCCGGGCATGGTGTGGCGCACGCCTGTAATCCCAGCTACAGGCTGAGGCTGAGGCAGGAGGAATCGCTTGAACCTGGGAGGCAGAGGTTGCAGTGAGCCGAGATCATGCCACCGTACTCCAGCCTGGAGACGGGAAAGACTCCATCTCAAAAGAAGGAGAGAGAAGGGAGGGGAGGAAGGAAAGAAGGAAAGAAGAAAAGAGAAGAGAAGAGAAGAGAAGAGAAGAGAAGAGAAGAGAAGAGAAGAGAAGAGAAGAGAAGAGAAGAGAAAAGAAGAGAAAAGAAGAGAAAAGAAGAGAAAAGAAGAGAAAAGAAGAGAAAAGAAGAGAAACCAGGGAAGTCAAAGAGAACCTCCAAGTTCAGGGCAGAGAATGTGCAGGACTGCAGAGGGGAGAGACAGGTCCTGGGCGAAGGCTGCCAGGCTTCGCAATGATGAGGGAGAAGACACCCTGGAGGTGCGGGGAAAAGGTCTCACTGCAGTAGGGGACATGGTGACTGTGTGCAGGGCTCTGTCCATTTCTCAGGATGGGGAAGGGAAGATGGGATGGGAGGGGAATGGAAGAGGGGATGGGACGGAAAGGAAAAAAGGGAGATGCTTCCATTTTTGGATTACAGCCAATTATCTCTAGGGTTTATTGTCTGTTTGCTAAATAGAACGAAAGGTCTGTGACAGCCCGGGCAACAAAAGATCCTGTCTCAAAAAAAAGAAAAAAAATTATTGTGTTGGCACAAGTCTGCAGTCCCAGCTACTCGGGAGGCTGAGGTAGGAAGATCAATTGAACCCAGGAGTTTGAGCCATGATTGTGCCATGGCACCCTTGCCCAGGTGACAGAGCAAGACCCTGCCCCTAAAAATTTTAAAAATAAAGCTCCAAAAATAAAGATAAAAACAAAAAATATATAAAAACAAATAAAATAAAAACAGAAAAAATAACTAAAAACACAAAACAAAACAAAAAGTTCCAGGAGGGCAAAGACAATGAACTCAGGCTGTTTGTTGTTCTGTTGTATTCTGTTGTATCCGCAGGGTCTGGAACAATTCCTGGCACATTAAGGAATTAAATCAATATTTGGCCAGGCTTGGCGGATCACATGTGTAATCCCAGCACTTTGGGAGGTCAAGGCTGGAGGATGGCTTGAGTCCAGGAGTTCAAGAGCAGCCTGGGCAACCCAGTGCAACCCCATTTCTACAAAAAATACAAAAATTAGCCAGGCCTGGTGGCATTCCCCCTTGTAGCCTCAGCTACTCTGGAGGCTGAGTGGGATAGGATTGCTCGAGCCCAGGATATTTTTTTTTTTTTTTAAGACCAAGTCTCACTCTGTCACCCAGGCTAGAGTACAGTGGCATGATCTCAGCTCACTGCAACCTCCGCCTCCCAGGTTCAAGCGATTCTCATGCCTCAGCCTCCCGAGTAGCTGGGACTACAGGCGTGAGCCACCACCCCGGCTAATTTTTGTACTTTTAATAGAGATGGGGTTTCACCATGTTGGCCAGTCTGGTCTCGAACTCCTGACCTCAGGTGATCCACCCACCTCAGCCTCACAAAGTGCTGGGACTGTAGGCATGAGCCACTGTGCCCAGCCAAACCCAGCAGTTTAAGGTTGCAGTGAACTATGATTGTACCATTGCACTCCAGCCTGGATGACAGAGCGAGACCCTGTCTCGAAAAAAAAAAAACAATACTTGTCTAATGGAGTTGTTAACCATTCTTGGGGGATGCGAGGACAGTTGAGAAAATGTGTAAGAGTGAGAGGTGTGGAAGACCACCACGGTGAATGCACTGAAAACAGTCCCGCCTCTGCTATCCCCTGGATTGAGAGTGAAACCTCCCCCTCTTCCCCACCCCACTGCAAGGTAGCCAGCCTGCCCCAGATTCCAACACTACCCATGTACCTTCTTCACTCGAAGGGCCGTGATCACATGGCTTTCATCATACTCCCATTTGGAACGTACATCTGGAAAGGAAAAGTATTTAAGAACTGAATTTGCAAAGGAACATACTACCAAACTACTCAGAGGACTTATGTCATCATCAACGTCTGTTTGTTTGGCAGTTAAGGGATAGTCATTGTCAGTTTAAAACTTGAGATGTGGGGCCAGGTGTGGTGGCTCGCACCTATAATCCCATCACTTTGGGAGGCCAAGGCGGGTGGATCACTTGAGGCCAGGAGCTCAAGACCAGCCTGGCCAACATGGTAAAATCCCATCTCCACTAAAAATACGAAAATTAGCCAGGTGTGGTGACAGCGTCTATAGTCCCAGCTACTCAGGAGGATGAAGGAGGAGAATCATTTAAATCTAGGAGGCGGAGGTTGCAGTGAGCCAAGTTCGCACCATTGCATTCCAGCCTGGGTGACAGAGCAATATTCTGTCTCATAAATAAGTAACTAAGGGAAGGGGAAGGAAGAAATCAAATTTGAAGTGAGCTCACGCTAAATCCCCATCCAAGCTGGAAAGTAGGGGCATGATCTCCGCTCACTGCAATCTCCGTCTCCTGGGTTCAAGCAATTTTCCTGCCTCAGCCTCCCCAGTAACTGGGACCACAGGTACGTGCCACCACGCCCGGCTAATTTTTGTATTTTTAGTAGAGACGGGGTTTCACCATGTTGGCCAGGCTGGTCTCGAACTCCTGACCTCAACTGATCCACCCACCTGGGTCTCCCAAAACGCTGGGATTACAGGCACAAGCCATCACACCTGGCCTCTTATCTAAAGCAGCAATCCCCAACCTTTTTGGCACTAAGGACTGGTTTCACCGAAGACAATTTTTCCACGGAACAGGGCAGTGGGCGGGCGGGTGGGGATGGTTTGGGGATAACTTGAGCGCATTACATTTTTTGTGCAATTTATTTCTATTATTATTACATTGTAATATATAAAGTAATTCTACCACCATGTAGGATCAGTGGGAGTCCTGAGCTTGTTTTCCTGCAACTAGACAGTCCCATCTGGGGGTGACAGGAGACAGTGACAGATCATCAGACGTTAGATTCTCATAAGGAGCGAGCAACTTAGATCCCTCGCATGTACAGTTCACAGTAGCGTTTGTGCTCCTATGAGAATCTAATGCTGCTGATGATCTGACAGCAGCAAGTGGAGCTCAGGTGGTAATGCGAGCCATGGGGAGTGGCTGTAAATAAGGATGAAGTTTGTTTTTTTTTCCTTTTTTGAGACAGGGTCTCACTCTGTCACCCAGGCTGGAACGCAGTGGCACAACCTTGGCTCACTCCAACCTCCGCCTCCTGGGTTCCGGCAATTCTCACACCTCAGCCTCCCGAGTAGTTTGGATTACAGGTGTGCACCACCACAACTAATTTTTTTTGTATTTTCAGTAGAGATGGGGTTTTGCCCTTTTGGCCCGGCTGGTCTTGAACTCCTGGCCTCAAGTGATTCGCCCACCTTGGCCTTCCAAAGTGCTGGGATTACAGGCGTGTGCCACCACACCTGGCCCAGGGACCCCTGTTCTAAAGGCATTCATACCCCCTCCCAGAAGTTTGTTACCTCATCAAAAATAATATTTGAAAGACACTGTGGTTCGACCTCCTTCACTTTTTTCCAAGTACTTACCAAATAAACAGAGATAGTTGGGTTCAGTTAATCTGGAGAGTTTTGTGGCCTGATTCAGGATGTTGTAAAGCTCTGTCGGTTCACACAAAAGCAAACCAGGCATCCTGCTGGGAAGAATCAGTAACACACAAGTGTAACACACCTCTATTTTAGATGAATGGCCACAAAGTGATATATTGAATTAAGCTCTTTCTTAACATACCTTCAAACAAAGATGACAGTAATCATGTAAGTGATCAGGAAGGCTTCAAAACTGTATAGTGAAATATAGTGTGCAGAGGAGAATAAAATCTTAAATACAACATACCTAGCCAGGTGTGGTGGCTCACGCCTATAATCCCAGCACTTTGGGAGGCCGAGGCAGGTGGATCACCTGAGGTCAGGAGTTTGAGACCAGCCTGACCAACATGGTGAAACCCCGTCTCTACTAAAAACACAAAAATTAGGCGGGTATGGTGGCAAGTGCCTGTAATCCCAGCTACTTAGGAGGCTGAGGCAGGAGAATCGCTTGAACGGGAGGCAGAGGTTACAGTGAGCCAAGATTGCACCACTGCACCCCAGCCTGGGTGACAGAGTAAGACTCCATCTCAAAAAAAAAAAAAAAAAAAAAAAAAAGTGTAGTAAAATGTGAGCAGAGAATAAAATCTTGAATACAAGATTATCTGAGCCATATACATATCACATGGGCTGTAAAACAGCTGCCAGTTCATTTGCTTATTTAGCAAATAATTACTGAGCATCTACTATGTCCCAGAGCACTGGAAATAACTGTGGCAAACAAAACCTGCCTTCATGCAGGTTACAGTCTACCATGGAATGCAGACTCTTACAGAAAAAACTGCAAGATGTTAGAGCACTATAAAAGATATTGGGGCCATGCATGGTGACTCATGTCTGCAATCTCAGCACTTGGGGAGGCCTAGGCAGGAGGATTGCTTGATCCCAGGAATTCAAGACCAGCCTGGACCACACAGCAAGGCCCTGTAATGCAAATTAGCTGGACGTGGTATAGTCCCAGCTATAGTCCCAGCTACTGAGGAGGCCAAGGTGGGGTAATTGCTCGAGGCCAGGAGTTCAAGACCAGCCTGGACAACATAGTGAGACCCTATCTCTTAAAAAAAAAAAAAAAAAAACTAAAAACTAGCCAGGTGTGGTGGCACACACTTGTGGCCCCAGCAACTCAGGAGGCTGAGATGGGAGAATCACTTGAGCCTGGGAGGTGGGGCTGCAGTAAACCGTGATCACACCACCACAATCCCACCTGGGCAACAGAGTGAGCGCCTGTCTTGAAAGGAAAAAAAAAAAAGGAAGGATCAGCTGTGCATGGTGGCTCACTGGCTCACACCTGTAATCCCAGTACTTTGCAAGGCTGAGGCAGGCAGATCACCTGAGGTCAGGAGTTCAAGACCAGCCTGGCCAACATGGCAAAACTCTGTCTCTACTAAAAATACAAAAATTAGCTGGGTGTGGTGGTGCACACCTGTAGTCCCACCTACTTGGGAGGCTGAGGCAGGAGAATTGCTTGAACCCAGGAGGCGGAGGTTGCAGTGAGCCGAGACTGCATTACTACACTCCAGGCTGGGTGACAGAGCAACTTCGTCTCAAAAAAAAAAAAAAAGTAGGATCCACTGTGACAGGAGTACCTAACAGGAGGTTCTCACCTAGGTGGGGGAATAGGACAAGTGTTGTCTGAGGATGTGACTGCTAAGCTGAGACAGGAGGCTGGGCAAGAGGAGGAGGGAGAGAGGGTGAAACGGAGGATAATAACATTCTGCCGGGAGGAGGGGCAAGTGCAGTACCTAAGACAGTTCAAAGGAGCCTGGTATGGCTCCGCTAAAAGCTTGATAAGACACTGCAGAGGCCAACACAGGTGGCCTCTGTGTTAAGGATCCCGACAGTCATGGTTGGGTGGAGAATCGCTGATGTGTACAGAGCTAGGTTCGGGCTCCCATTGTCCTCTCTTGGGACACTGGCTCCTGGGCCCAGTTGTTTCTGGAAGGGTCAGGCCTGTGCAGCAGCTTCCTGCAGGAAAGCTTTTATTTATTTTTGAGACAGGGTCTTATGCTGTCATCCAGGCTGGAGTACAGTGGTGTGTTTACGGCTAACTGCAGCCTCAAACTCCAGGGCTCAAGCAATCCTCCGGCCTCAGCCTCCCTAGTAGCTGAGACTACAAGGGTATGCCATCATGCCTTTTGAATTTTGTGGAGATGGGCAACACTATGCCCAGTCCGGTCTCAAACTCCTGTCCACAAGTGATCCTCCCACCTCGGCCTCCCAAAGTGCTGGCATTACACGTGTGAGCCACCACACCTGGCCAGCTATCTTTTAGCAAGAGGGCTAGAAGGAGAGCAGAGTGGAACCTCTGTAGGCCAGTGGGGGGTGGTAAAGGGGAGAAGTTGAGTCCAGGGGTAATCTTGCATTAAACGGTAAGGCTCCACTTCAGAGTTACCAGACAATGCTCCTGGGAAATGCCAGCACCTCAACTTAAACCTCAGATCCTTCTCACCTCCTCGAAGGCTTCAGTTCTCAGCACCCCTCCACAGCATCAACAGTTTCAACCTCCATATGGGTCCCTCCTGTCGACATGCAAACATCGTCTTGTACCTATCTCTGTTCTTCTTTCCAGCAGAAGCGTGCAAAGAGAAACACCACCTCTCAAAAGTGTGGTGTTTCATTTACCGCATCCACTTCCTCTCCTCCAATTACGCTGACCCTGGAGTCAAACTCTTTTAGGTCTGAATGCTGGTTCTGCCATTTACTATCAGCTGTCTGGCACTAGGGAGTGGTTAGCCTCTCTGCGCCTCAGTCCCCACCTCTGTAAAACGGGGGTGAGAATAATATTGCCACTTCTATATAATGAGGGTGACAGTACCTGCCCTGGTGTGTGTGTATTCATGAAGTCACATTTGTCAGGCATTCTAAGCAGGGAGGAAATACTCAGAGAGTATTGGCCATTGGCGTAACCTACTCCTTGGAGCTGCTGCCTTTTTTTGAGACAAGGTCTTGCTCTGTTGCCCATGTTGGAGTGCAGTGGCACTATCATAGCTTGCTGCAGCCTCAACCTCCTGGGCTCAAGCGATTCTCCCACCTCAGACTCCTGAGTAACTGGAACTACAGGCACATGCCACCATGGCCGGCTACTTTTTTTTTTTAAGAGATGGGGTCTCACTATGTTGCCCAGGCTGGTTCCCCTGGAGCTTCCTACCCTACCAAACCACAAAGACTGCTCTGTATCAAAGTCATCAACAATGTCCATCTTGCCTAAGCCATTGGTCACTTCTCTCTGTGCTCGAATGCCCCACTTAGGCGCAGGTAACATGGTTGAGCACTGTTTCTTCTCCAGACACTCTCCTCTCCCAGGAAACTGCACCTTCCAAGCTTCCCTTCTTCCTCGCAGACTGTTCCTCTCCAGTTTTGCATGGAAGAATGCCCCCGGGCTTACTTTCCTTTTTTCTGCTTTATCTACATACTCACTCTAGGGCAGGGTTTCTCAACCTTGACACCACTGACATCGGGGCCAGATAACTATGTGCGGGGAGCTGGCCTGGGCACTGCAGGATGTTGAGTGGCATCCCTGGTCTCTACCTGGTGGATGCCAGAAGCAAACTGTCCCTCTTCCCATCACCAGTAACAGAAAATATCTCCAGACATCGCCAAGGGTCCCCTGGAAAAAGGGGGCAAGATCACCCCTGGCTGAGGATCAACACTCTGAGACCTAGAGTCACAGTGATTCATCCAGTTCCCTGAATACCACACACGCACCAATGATTCCCAAATTTTATCCCACCTCAACCCGTCTACTGAGCTCCAGACTCTACCAGGGTGCCTGGTGGACATCGCAAATACAGCATGACCGAAATACAACTTCAACGCACTCATGCCCACACCTCCAGTACCTGCTTGTCATTTAGCCTTCTCAGTCTCAATCAACAGCACCATGATCCACCCAGTTGCTTGGGCCCAATGACCTCATTCCTCTTTCCCTCACATCCAGTCTCTGAGCTCTGCCTCCTTCATGTATTCCAAGTCCATCCACTTCTCTCCATCTCCAGGGGTACCATCTTGGTCCAAGACACTATTATCTCTCCTGACGAGGCAGTACTGCCCAACTGGATTTCTAGCTTCCTCCTTTCTCCCTCCAGTTTCATCTTCACACAGTAGTCTGCGCAATCTTTAAAATCTGAGTAGGGTCATTGTCTTTACCTCACTATCACCTGAAGTTATCCTGCTCATTTGCTTATTTATTGTCCTCCTGGTTTCTCAGGAAGGGCCTTGCCTGTCTTGTCCACTGCGAGGTCCTCACCCAGTACCCCAGATTTACGTGCTGCAAAGTAATAGTCAATGAACACATGTGGAAATACATGACTGTCAGTTACCATTATGCCCTGTCCCAATGCCACCATCTTGACCTGCCGTCATACTTTTTCCACGTGTGGATTCCTCTTACAGACCTCCTCACTCCCACCCCAAAGTCAGGTTCCACATCCTCTGTCTCTGAAAGCCAGGCCATTTTGGTAGTCGTGAGTACAGAGGAGAGAGGTGGGCTTTGTGTCTAGTCCTAAAAACCTCATTAAGCAAAACGAAAAGCTGGTTCCTAACCCATCTGGTCTATGGCTTATAGCCCATCCTCAGCTCCTACCTACTTTCTCCCATTGCTAACTCCATCTCCCTACTCACTAGCCAAAGAATCGTCTCTGGTCCTATAGATAAAAACCCAGCCCCAAGGATCTCCTTCTGCAGATCCTTCTCCTTCTCAAAGGACTCCACCTGGTCAAGCAGGAACAGCCCCTCACCCACTGGTAAAGTACTGGAAGGATGAGAGCAGTCCCTGAACCTAACAGCATGATTCCAAGAGAAGATGCATCCCTGTGAACTGAAATTAGGGCACCTCTAGCCTTGGGTAAGTTGAGGACCGAGCATGGGTAACCATCCCATTTGGTGCTACTCTGAAGCCTGCAGTTTATTTACTTATTTTTTTGAGACAGAGTCTTGCTGTGCCCCCAGGATAGAGTGCACTGGGACGATCTTGGCTCACTGTAACCTCCACCTCCTAGGTTCAAGCGATTCTCTCACCTCAGCCTTCCGAGTAGCTGGGATTACAGGTGCC